ACAGTGCGATCTTCTCGCTCGCCCAGCTCTGACTCGGCGATAGATTAACACCGCCTTGTCACCTGACGCGTCGGGAAACAAGCTAATTCCCTTCTTCAATTAAACCCCCGATTTTATTAAGGTATAACACGAGACCACGCCCTTTATAATCTCTGGTATCGCTATCCCCTGTGCGGAATTGCTTTGTAGAGCTAAACTGTTTTTATTTGCAAAATCACTGGATAATTCTTTAGTCACCCAGTAGTCTCCAGTGCAGCGTCGTTTATGAATATACTGCTAAAAAAAATGTCGCTGTCTGAATTTGCTGAGACTCAACAGATTCTCGATGATTCGTGGAGCATCTGCGCACCCTAACTCCTACAAAGCCGGAGGGGTAATTGTTTTCCACCCGTATTGCTGTTGTAGATCGCTCTTATTCGTCGTAAGAGAGCACTCCCCTCCCATGCCCCGCCTTTACGTCAGGAATGTGGGTAGAAAATAGAATGACCCACACCGGATGTGAGGTCATCAGTTATCGGCGAAAAAAAAATATGGCTGCGTTCTTGAAGCGTGCGAGTCGTGGTCTTTTTAACCTAGAGTCAAATATCTTTCTGACAGTGCAAGAAAACCAATGCATTGTTGCGAAGAGATACGTCAGGGCTCTGAGACGGAAACCAGTTAGGGTGTTGTATCCAGAAAATGAGTCCGATGATCCGTCGACGTCAAATTCGTTTGACAAAACGGGTATCCGAACGCAGCCAGCCACCAGTACCCCCAGGAAGAGCGCAGAGAAGGGTCATAATATGCCAAAATCCGAGGTCGAGGGCAGATCCATTCCAGAGTACTGGCAAAAAAATAAAAAAGAAGCGATAGGCTCCGCAGGCAAGCGACCGCCTTTGGCTGAATCGGTAAAAAAGAGCGGAGCTCCTGTCCCTGTCTCCGATCCCCACGACGAGCTACATGGGCTCCGCTATGAAAAGGCTTTTCCCGGAGACAAGAGACTGGCGTGAGTTCCCTCTTTCTGTGTCCGTCTGCGGTCACCCTGCGCTTGATTCGCGAGCCCCCTCTTATTCCGTCGCAGTGCAGTACAATGACGTGAATAAGACGCCCATCTCATAGTGATGCGGTCGGCTTTTTTAGATCCGCGACCTACGGGCACTTGTTCGGGTTGCTTTCTTAAGTGGGCCAGCAGATATCAAGTATGTTCGGCAAGCTTGCTCAGTATAGGCCTTCTGTGGGAAATCTGCATGGTCTCTCCTACTCAGGTCCAGAGACATGCTGTCCAGGTTAATTGGTGTCTCTACACCCGGGACGTGAGATGCGTGTCCATCCCAGGATGAATTTATCCTTGTGCTCTGTGCCGCCAGGATGGGCTTTGCCTCAGTGATCCCAGTTTCTGGTCCAAATTTTAAAGAAACGAACACAATCTCTGAAAAGGTCGATGAGGATTTGTGGTTGCCGTGGCAGCACAGTGGTCAGCATTGCTGCCTTGCAGTGCGGGGGCCCTGGGTTCAGTAACGGGCCGGGGGAGCTGTGCGTGTGGAGTTTGCATGTTCTTCCCGTGTTTGTGTGGGTTTCCTCCCACACAGTCCAGAGACATACTGGTGGGTTAATTGGCTTCTGGGAAAACAAGCCCAGGTGTGTGTGTGTGTGTGTGTCCTGTGATGGGGTGGAATCCTGTCCAGGCTGTATCCTGCCCTACACCTGCCCCTTGCTGGGATAGGCTCCAGCTGCCCTCCAGCCTTGGACTGGAAAAAACGGATAGAAAATGAATGGATCAACCACTGTTGTTCAGATCTCCCTTCGGCCTCAGTTGTCAGCTGACTGGACTTAAGCAGAAGAATCACTTGGACTTAAGCTGGGTTCCCTGAAACGTCCCTGCAATTAGCTGCACTTAATGATCATGTGTGGGGTGAGGAAGTGAGACCCCCCTCTGTGACGTGCTTTGGGATGGAAGGTGCCTTATAAATCCAAGGAATGCTTAAAATAATGTTTTAATGTTTTAATGTTAATGTAAATGTTTAATGTTTAATGTAAATACCAGGATATACAGCTGATTCTTTAATCCAAACCATTTATCTAGCTGTGCATTCTTACTGCTGTATCTCACGTGAGATTTGAACCCTCTACCTTCCACTTACAAGTCCAGACCCTTGACCACTGCCCCACGCTGCTGTCCTGGTATTTTATTCCCCATTCAGTTCAGTTTATTTTGTCATGTGCACAAGTGCAATGAAACGCGTATTTGCATGTGGGCTCCCATACAAAGACATTAAAGGAATCACCAGAAACATCAACACAGAGCAGCAGCAGCAGCAACAACAACAAATTAAATAACATACCACGTAAAAAACCCCATCAGTGGGAGCCAGTGGTAGGGGTAGAGTTCAGTAGTCTGACAGCTTGTGATAAGAAACTGTCTGAATCTGGAAGTTTGTTCCTTTATGCTTCTCACCAGAGGGAAGGGGGGAGAAAAGTGAGAAACCAGGGTGAGTGGTATCCTTAACCATACTTCCAGCCTTCCTGAGACAGTGAGCAGTAACAATGTCCACCATAGC